AGAATTTGTCGAAACTCTAGTTGAATTATTAAACTCACCAATTTATTGAGAACCTCAGATTGCAGCACAACAGACGACAGACAAACATCGAGAGTGACATCATAGGTATCGACGAATCTACTAATCTCGGACGAGACTTGTTTTATCACCCTCGAGCAATTTGGTGTTAGAGTTTTGGTCTCAGCTTGCCTTCTGATTTGGGAATAATTACAGACGAATGTGAACTGGTTATATGAGAAATCAGATATCAGCCCGTGGGACCACAAATACTCGGCCCTCGAGTTGAAATCTGAATTGAATTCCAGAAGAGGATTTCCAATCTGTTCTCCATTTAAAAATAAAAAAATAAAAATCAAGAAATACGATTAGCAGCTTAAGTTTTAACTCTTAGGACATTTATTTACGAGTTATATAACTCACTGCAATTCCTTTGAGGTTGAGTTTAGCTTTTGACTGAATAATGAGGTTTGCTAGTTGAGGAACATAATGCCCTGTTGAGAAATAAATAAAAACATGCTTTTTCATTCTTGAAAGTTGTAAATGATATTTTCACTCAGCAAAGAGAATAATGGTATATTCATATGTATACCTCCATAACTTTCTCCTGTGATGTAAAACTCTCTGTTCTTAAATTCTGGGTATTTTTCAACCCATTTCTCAAGAAAAGCAAGGTTATCTCTAGCTAAAAAAACAAACACCAAACACAAAAAATATTTAGATTAAATGTCCTGTAATGTAAACCAACTGATTACACAAATTCAGTTACATAACATGCTGAACAAATCATAGGCTCAAATTACCCGTCATTTTATCGTCAACATATTCATAGAAAGAACTATTAGCAGAATACGAGAATCCAACTCCAGCCGGTGATTCCAAGTACAACATGTTTGCCGCTGTTAAAATATAACCACAATAATCAGTTTCTTATGATAATTGGAATCACGCAAATATGCATACTTTCAAATTGAAACGACAAATAACACAAAAAAAGGTATTGACATTTTGTTCAACAAGCATGTAAAAGATAAAGCCCCTCATCAATTTATTACAAATGGCAAGAACAGAAAACAAATTAAATGCCTATGAACACCATTAAGCACCTCAAACCACGAGTGTGCATATAAACGAAATCCCCTCATTAAATGCCCATCATTTAATACAGAGAGTATACCAAAAAAAAAAAAAAAGGCACATCAAAATGAAATAATCAATGAACTAACTGCTTGCCTTTGTTCCAGCTGTAATTATTTCTAACCAAAACATTCCCATTTGGTCTGAACGGCCCGTGTTCACTAAATGCCCCAGCTCCAAGAGACGAGCAGCCAGGCCCTGAAAATTTTGAAAAAAATTCACTAATTTTCTCCATACCCAAAAATTGCACAAAAAGCATCGTGTGTAAAGACTGAAACTTTGTTTAGGTTTTGCATTTTCTTGTACTAAAGAACAAGGTAAATACACTCCCAAATATCCATTAGCGTACCCCCATTCAGCCATAGAACAAGAGGCTTTGAAGCAGGTTCAGTTTCTGCCTCCACAAAGTAGTAAAAAAGGGATCTTGCCGGTTTTTCACCGACAGCAATGTAACCGGAAAATTGCCGGAAGTTGGCCTTGGGCTGGCCGGGTAAACTTGATATTTTATCAGCTTCGTAGTGGGATTTCACTTTTGTTACTGCGGATAACTGCAGTAAGCAAATTATTGCAGAGATTATCGGCCATGGCTGAGAATATACCATGGTTGCGTGTGCTTGTGTGTGTCTCAGTGTGTGGTGTGGGGGAGGAGACTAGATAACCAATTGATGGCATAGTTTGAAGATTATAAAATTAAAAAGGTTAGACAGGTTAGACATACCCAACAGTTTAGACGTTCAATTTTTTCACTAAATACGTATACTTTCAAATTAATAACATTGTATTTTAGAAAACATTATAAATAAAAGCATTCGTTCATAACATAAATATGCAATTTTGTCATGATAGAACAGTATGACATGTCAGTCTATTGTTTGGCAACCGTAACGACTAGAAGTCATATTTTTTCACTAGATATGTATATTTTAAAATTAAAATGTCACATTTGTGAGAAATAATTTAAATTAAGTATTTATTTTTTGTTACAAATGTACATGAACATGTTTTTTCCAACTTACATGGAACTAAAAGACTACGTTGATGTTATTGTTTTACGTGAACATGTTTTTGTTATTGGTAAGTGGGAGCTAGTTTGAAACTTTGAATTTAAAACGTTATGCCCACGCATTATGGAACTTGAAAAGTATAGTGGGCATAAGATGACAAAAGTGTGCATAAAATGACTTAACCGCACGCAATTAATGGTTTTGTTTTTTATTGTATCATATGCTAGTCAATCAATTATAGTTAAAAAGTAATTGAAAGGACACCCCGTTTGATTTTTGTTTTTGTTTGCATCATATATTAATAATCTCCAATAATTTTTTCATCATGTGTGGTGAAAATCTCTTAGGATAGTGTTTCATGAGTATGATGAAATTTATCTTCCTTGCGTTTAAAGCATTAAATGAGTAATAAGGTATTGGCCCCGTTTGGTAGATAGCGGATTGAAGGTAAATTAGCGGATGGGACTTAATTGAGAGGTTTGACTCGTCAAATCCGCTATTGAGTCTGTTTGGTAAATAGCTTATTTGATAAGCTTTTTGGGCTCAAACCTCTAATTTAGAAAAAGCTCATTAGAGGAGCTTTTTGGGGATAGAGGATTCACAAAAAAACTTTTTACTTGGAACTTTTTAATTTGTATTATTTATTTTAAAATCTATATTGGTTTATGGTGCTAATAAATAATAATATGTCATCCATATGATTAATTTATCTAGAAAAATGTAAAATTCATAACTTCTTCATCAAGTTTTAGGCAATTTAAAGAAAAAAATAATATATTTATAAATTACCAACTAAAGAATATTAAATGTTTTAATATATTATTATTAAAAAAATACACCCTAAATAATAAAATATTCTTATTGGTCATTTTGTAATGTCAAACAGCTATAAGCTTTCAGCTATTTACCAAACACTTATTTAAAAACCGCTAATGCAATCTGCTGGTCAAATCAGCTAATATAATCCGCTATCCACTATCCGCTGATACAATCTGCTATCCGCTATCCGCTGATCGCCAAACAAGGCCATTAAGAGTGATTGATACGAGATGTAACTATATTCGAATCACACCGTTTATACCATCGTTCTCACAACCTTTAGTGTTATTTTTCCATATATAAGGTTGAATTTGTTACTATATTAGAAGGAAACATCAAGTTCTAAAACTAAGAAGTGGTACGGCATCTAGTCCTAGAAATTGAGACGAGCCCACAACCAACAACAAGAAGATTCACATGGAAGAAGAAAAATATCAGTCTTATGTAGAATCATTAAATGAAACAAGTCGTTTATGAGCTCATCTCGTTTATCGAGTTCGAGCTTGTTTAAAGTTCGTTTTATTAAAGAGTCGAACTTGGCTAGGCTCGATAAGGCTGGAAAATAGTATTATTATATCATTTCATACAATTTGACTCGTCAAAATTCGAGATCAACTAGTAACTAGACTCGTTAATATTGATGAATGAGTCGAGCTCGAGCTCAGAGTACCCGAACTCTTATCGAGTCGAGCCTCCTGAACCAAGTAGTGAGGTACCTTAACCTCCGATTAGGTGTCACTGCCAAACCAGCTTGGGCCTAGAGGCCCAAAATTTATGTCAAGCAAAGAGTGGAGTCCATTAAAGGGCCCAAATGTCCTAAATATACAGAAAGGTCCAAACAATTAAAGAGCCATATCACTAGGCCGGAATTTCAAAGAAAATACGGAGAAAAAAGAACAAGACAAAAGAAAAAAATAGAAGAGGGAAAACTGAAAAGGGCAAACAGAAGACAAGCAAGAAGAGATTCATCCATGGATCCAGAGGCAGCACGAACTGCGCGGGACTCACTCGATTTGGTGTTCCACATGTCGAACCTTCTCGAAACCGGCCTCGATCGCCACACGATTTCGATTCTCATGGCTCTCTGTGAAATGGGAGTCAACCCTGAATCTCTGGCCGCCGTGGTGAAGGAGCTACGCCGTGAACCGCCGCATTCCTCTGATTCCGGGTCTCCGCCGTCTTAACGGGGTAATTGTTTAGCTATTGTGTTATTTTTCTTCTTGATATTTGCCTAAATTTCTACTGTGCGTGCGCGAGTGAGTGTGTGTGTGTGTGTGTGTTTGGGGTGTGAAGTTAGCTGGATTTTATATATCCTAGAAATCCCTAATTGTGTCTTTTTCTACAATTGAATTTTTTAGTTACATTTGTTAATTATGCCCAATATTCACAAAAATATGAAGGTAAAAGAAAGGCAGCATTTTTACCGGAGTATTGGAGTTTTTAATGATACCCACATTGTTCCGTAGCTATGGTTTGATTTCAGATAGCTTTTCTGGGAGTGATTTTGTTTCATTCCGCGGAGGTTGGAACCGATAATTCCTTTCCAAAAAAATCGACTTTAGAAGGTTAAAAATAAACCTGTTGGGACTATAGCTAAGTGTAATGATAGGTCAGCCTGTCTTGCTGTCAGTTTCTCTTACCTTAGTCTAATCTGTATTCCTACTTTTCATTGCTTTCAGTTATGGAGGGGAAGTTGGGGTCTGTTTTCTTTTTCGGTTGCTGATAGGTTTTGTGGTGTTTGTTTTGGCTTGCGGACTGCGAGTTTATATCCCTTTGGAGTGGAGGCTAGGGTTCATGTTCTGTTCCTTGGCTTTGCTTTTGTCTGACTGTGTTTAGCCTGTTTCTTTTTCTGTTTTTGGTTGGTTTGGCTGGTGTGTATGTATTCTAGTGTTCACAAGTATCCCCTTGAGTTTTCTTTGCTAAGTCTGCTGTAATAGCATTGGAAATGTAGCCACCATTTGGTGAACGGGTTGTACATCATTCTTGAGTTATCTATATATT